ATTTCCTCCTTTCCAATTTGTATCCCTTTGATTTCTTTTTCCTGCCTAATGGCTCTAGCTAAAATTTCCAGAACTATATTAAATAGCAATGGAGAGGATGGGTATCCTTGTCTGGTACTGGATCTTAGGGGGAATGTTTCCAGCTTTTCCCCGTTCAGTAGGATACTGGCTGTGGGTTTGTCATAAATTGCCTTGATTTTTGTTGAGAAATGTTCCTTCTACACTCAATTTACTCAAGGTTTTAATTATGAAAGGATGTTGTATTTTATCAAGTGCTTTCTATGCATCTATTAAGATAACTGTTTTTCCTTCAATTTGTTAATGTGATGTATCATATTGATTCGCAAATGTTGAACCATTCCTGCATATCTGAGATAAATCCTACTTGGTCAGACTGAATGATCTTTCTGATGTGTTGTTGGATTTGATTAGCTAGTATTTTGTTGAGGATTTTTGCATCCATGTTCATCAGGGATATTGGTTTATAGTCCTCTTTCTCTTGTATCTTGTAGAAATTCAGCAATGAAACCATCAGGTTCTGGGCATTTCTTTGTTGCGAGGGTCCTCATTAATGATTCTCTCTCTTCTGGTTATTGGCTTGTTTAGTTTTTCTGTGTCTTCACAACTCAATTTTGGTAGATGGTGTGTGTTCAGAAATCTATCCATTTCTTCCAGGTTCCCAATTTATTGGCATACAACTCTGTAGTATTTCTGATGATTCTTTTTATTTCTGTGGTATCTGTTGTTACCTTTCCTTTTTCATCTCTAATTTTATTTATTTGGGTTTTCTCTCTCCTTTTCAGTTACTTGGGCCAGTGGTGTACATATTGTATTTATTTTTCCAAAAAGCAACTCTCCATTTTCTATTTTGTTTATTCTCTAATTATTTCTTTCCTCCTAATTTTGTGTTTGGTTGTTGTTTTTCTAGGTCTTTGAAATGCATTGATAGTACATTTATTTGGTACCTTTCCAATATCTTCATGTAGGCACTGATTGCTATTAACTTCCCTCTTAACTGTTTTTGCTGTGTCCTGTAAGTTTTTATATGTATTGTCATCATTTGTTTCCAGAAATGTTTTGATTTCTCTTTTGATTTCCTCTATACTTTTGATTTAGGAATATATTGTTCTGTCTCCATGTGTTGAATATTTTCTAGAGATTCTTGAGTTGTTGATTTCCAGCTTCATTCCATTATGGTCAGAGAAGATGCATGGTTTGATTTTTATTTTTTTGAATTTGCTGAGACTTGCTTTATGGCCTACCATATGGTCTATCCTAGAGACAGTTCCATGCTCTGAAGAGAATAATTTGTATTCTGCAACTCTGCGGTGAAAAGTTCTGTAGATATCAGGTCCATTTGTTTGATAGTATAGATTAGCTCTGTTGTTTCTTTGCTGATTTTATGTCTAGTTAATCTGTCCTTTAATGAAAGTGAGGTGCTGAAATCCCCCATTACTATTGTATTGGAATCTATGTCTCCCTTTAGATCCATTAACATTTCTTTTAAATAGCCAGGCATCCTGGCATTGGTTGTATATACATTTATTGTAGTCACATTTTCCTGTTGAGATGATCCCTTAATCATTAGATAGTGCCCTTCTTTGTCTTTTTTAACAGTTTTTGCGTTAAAATCTATTTTTAATGATATTAGAATGGCAACACCTGCCCTTTTTTGCTTTCCATTAGCATGGGATATCTTTTTCTATCCTTTTGCTTTCAGTCTGCATGTATCTTTATTGGTGAGATATGTTTCTTGTCAGCAGTAAATAGATGTGTTCTCTTGTTTTTTAATTCATTCAGCTAGTCTGTATCTTTTAAATGGAGAACTGAGGCCATTTACATTCAAGTTGATTTTAGATAAGAAATGAGTTGGCCCTGGTGTTTTCCCATAAATATTCCTATTTCCTTTGGATTTCTTTTGTGTTTTTACTGGGGGATTTTTCCACCTTCATATTTTTTATAATGATGGCTGTCTTTTTGTACTTCTGTGTGTAGCACATTCTTAAGCATCATTTGTAAGGCTGGACAAGTGGCAACAAATTCTTTGAGTTTCTGTTTGTTGTTTATTTCACCTTCATTCATAAACGAGAGCTTTTCAGGGTACAGTATTCTGTATTGACAGTTTTTTGCTTAAGACTTGGACTATATCTTGCCATTCCCTTCTAGTTTGTAGGGTTTCTGAGGAGAAGACAGCCGTGAGTCTAATTGGCGATCCTCTGAAAGTAATCTGGCATTTCTCTCAAGCACGTTTTAGAACCTTTTCTTTTTGTTTTACTGTGGAGAGCTTGACTATAATGTGTCGTGGTGAAGATCTTTTCTGGTCATGTCTATTAGGAGTTTTATAAGCTTACTGTAGCTGGACATCCCTTTCTTTCTCCAAATTGGAGCGGTTTTCTTTAATTATTTTGCTAACTAGCCCTTCTAGTTGATTCTCTCTTTCCACACTTTCAGGAACTCCTAGGACCCATATGTTGAGTCATTTTATAGTAACCCATAAATCTCCAACACTGTTTTTAAGTTTTGTATTTTCTTCTTCTTCTTTGTCTTTTCTGTTGCTGTTGTTCTGACTCTAAGGTTTCCAAAGATTTATCTTCTAGTTGGATATTCTTTTTTATGCCTTTCCAAGTCTGCTGTTTTTAAGTTTTGTATTTTCTTCTTCTTTGTCTTTTTGTTGTTGTTGTTCTGACTCTAAGGTTTCCAAAGATTTGTCTTCTAGTTTTGATATTCTTTTTTTGCCTTGCCAAGTCTGCTGTTAAGGCTTTCCAACACATTTTTATTTGATCTATTAAATTATTCATTTCTAATATTTCATTTTCTTTTCTCTTTAAAAATCTCAATTTCATGAGAAAAATATTCACATCATGTATGGTTTTCTTTAGTTGACAGATTTGCTTCTGATTGCTTTTGAGAAATGCTATGATTAATTTTTTGAATTCCACTTTCAGCATTTCTTCAGTCTCTTCATGTTCACATTCTAATGTTGAAATAATATTGTGTTCCTTTGAGGAGGGGAGTCATGGTATCTTCCTTATTGTTTCTTGAAATTCTGTGTGTGTTTTTAGACATTTATGGATTTGATTGTTGTTTTCTTCTGATAGCTTTTATCTTTGAGCTATATCTCTAAAGCTTAGTGGAATGTCTGCACTTTCAGCAAATACCAAGAGATGTGTGTTAGATGCAGCCAGGGAGCTCTGATCAATGATCCAGGGTGGGGCAAGTATTCAGGATAACACCCAATTTGGGTGTGGTAGATCTCAGTGCCTAAGTGTTAGCCCCCAGTGTGTTCTGTGCCACTGTATGAACCACAGAAATGACCCACCCACTCCTCACTATGAGCAGAGTTCTTGCTGCAATGACCTGCTCTAGGCAACCAAGGAGCTCTGAGCACACAGAGCCATACCCAGTTATTGCTCAGAAACTCAGCTACACCCTGCTCCTCCTCATGGAACCTCCAAGTCCCCCTGTTCTCTGCACACAAGACTTGCGCAGTCATTAGGTGCAGATTTCTCTCTGACCTGGCAGCCCATCCAGTCAACAGAGATGCATTTGTTCCCTGAGACATCCACCTAGGCGTCTTGATCCTGGGAGTCTGCGAGTGCCTCACTGTCCTATGTGGTTGCCCAGCAACCTCCCAGTCAGTCTCAAAGTCAGTGGGAACTACAGATTGTTCCCTCCACTAAACTTTCTGGATCACATGGATACACAAGTGCCACTGGTCCAATGTTGCTCTCTCCGTGCCACTACATGACAGTAGTGCCAAGAAGATGGTCTCCCGTCTCAGCCAGGTGCTGTGCATGTGCACAGTCTTCTGCAGCTCCCACCCAAACCCAAAACGGCGCTTACCCTTTCTCAGGCAGTGGGCACTGTTGTGGGGAGGTTGTGATGAGATGGGCATGGCCTCTCTACTTCTACTGAGTCCACAGACAACCACTAGCAACCACCAGCTCCCAAGGCTGCAGTGCAGACTCAGGCCACGCTCTCCCTCTGGCTGAGTCACCACAGCTGCGGCAGTCTGGTATCGCCTCCGTCTCCAAGCTGCTGCAGTTGTGCACCGTGTTTGTGTTTGTGCTGCGCATCTGCACCCTCCACACATCCACGGCATTCCTCTTCCTCTTGTAGGATTTCCAGTGTGGTTTTCTCTCCAGTTCTCCCCTGAGAATGCACTTCCTACACTTTTGTTTTGCTGTTTATCCCTAGCCTAGCACAGTATGTCATTCCCTAGAGTGCCATTTTGGAATCTGCAATACAGAATCTGCATTTTTAAACATGCTCCCTCCAGGTTAATGCCCATGACTCACTAGGGGCCAAACTGTGAACTGCAAATGTCTGGAGCAAATTGGTTTCAGCTGTTGAAACAATGAAAGAACTCTGGCCTCAGAATCAGCCCTTAAGGCACTCAGATCTGGCTGAAAAGCCCATGAGAGTATTTGAGGCATGGAAAACGAAGACACTCTGGAAAAAAAAAAACCTATATGAAAGATCTCTGTGAGTGAGATCCCAGTGGAAAGAACAGGCCATCAAAGAAGGAGGTACCTTTCTCTGAAGGGAGGAGACAACTTCCACTTTGACTATGACATTGTCTAAATAAGATAAGAGTTGGTGAACTCAAAAGGCCTCCATAGCCTTGGCAACTCTTGACAAGAGCCTAGGGTGATTACTGATGCCATAAACAAGAGTGTCAATTTGTTAAGTCAACAACAGGAGTCACTGTGCACTTACTCCTCATGTAGGATCTCTGTCCTTAGTGTGCTGTACATTGTGATTTAATGCTATAACTAGTACTCAAACCGTATTTTTCACTTTGTGTTTCTATGTGGGTGCAAACTGTTGAAATCTTTACTTAATATATGCTAAATTGATCTTCTATATATAAAGAGAATCAAAAATGAATCTTGATGTGAATGGAAGGGGAGAGGGAGCGGGAGAGGGGAGGGTCACAGGAGGGAGGGAAGTTATGGAGGGGGGAGTCATTGTAATCCATAAGCTGTACTTTGGAAATTTATATTCATTAAATAAAAGTTAAAAAAAAACAATGAAAGAAAAAATGAGTAACTGCTATGTGTGTCCATGAGTTCTCAATGATGTCCTTTAGGTTAAATGATATAGAAAAGTCATTTGGTGGTTGTGAGCTGGCTTTAATATTATTAAAATGCAAGTAATATTTTCCAGTATGTTTCTTAAAGAAACACTGAACTTTTAAAAAAATTATTTGAAAGGCAGACAGAGAGCACTCCCATCTGAGGGTTTCCTTCCTAAATGCCCATAACAGTCAGGGCTAAGACAGGCTAATCCAGATCTCCCATGAGGGTGGTGGGGATCCATCTACTTGAGTCATCATCACCTTTTGCTTCCAAGGCTGTGCATTAGCAAAAAGCTACAATTGGGAGTAGAACCAGGACTCAAACTTCGGTACTCTAATATTGGATGTGGGCATCTCAAGTGATGTTTTAACCACTACACCAAACACCTGCCCAAAAAACATTTTTGAAGGTTAATTAATGGGGCTAATGCTTGAAAGGCTTGTAGAGTTTCCAGAAAATGTATACTGCATTAGTGCTTGGCACAATAACGTAATGGAGTCCACTTGTATTTCCTTGAAAAGTTGTTAATGTGATTCTGTTAAATTTCAGGAAAGATTTCAGAAAACCCACCTGAATTTACCTTATTGGAAATGTTGTTCTTTGTGAAGTGGGGTTATAAGCACAGAGGTTTTGGCATTTTCCTCTGTTGAGCCAGTGGAATTCCAGCACATTCTGCAATGAGCCTGTTGAGCTCCCATATCATGGAAATTGGAGTGTTGGTTCTTGAGAGTTAGGAATGACTGGATTTTAACTCTCCAGTATAAGAGAATTATTCTTTGAAAATAAACCAGATTTTAATAATCTAATAGATGTTATCTACCAGAATGTTTGTTTATAGGATCACAAGTATCTTTTAAGGATATTGTAATTGCTTAACAGCCAGTAATTTCAACTATGTTTTCACATATCCTTCTCAAATGACCTTTCTCAGCTCTTCAGAGAATTAAGCCTAATGCTCTAATGGTATTCGTTATACATACTATTTTTCATGATATTAGTGAATGTTATGCATCTATTTTGGTACTAATTATGTTCCACTCTTGGCAGAATCATATATTTTCTTAATTCTTTTCTGTGTGTAATGATTCAGATGAGAAACCTAGGTAAGAAAGCCTGCCATTTAGGCTTACGGACTTGTTAGAACTCTCATTATTCATTTCCAGATTGTTGCATTATTAGTTCCTGCTTTAATTTTTAAAATAGGAAGAGAGAAGGAGTTTATTGAAGCTGTGACACACATCATTTGCAATCCTCATTTGAACTCTACCTCCAAAACAGTCTGAACTACATCAAAGAGCTGACCTTCTCAGGTGAGTGCTGCAGAAATAGGAGGGGTTTGTTGCAAGACCTTCATTATATGTCTGCAACAGACAGCACTGGCCAGGCTGAAGCCAGGAGTCAAGGACCCAGGGACTTGAGCCATCATCTGCTACCTCCTAAGGAGTACACTAACAGGAAGCGAGAGCTTGGAGCAGAGCTGGAACTTAAACCCAGGCACTCTGATATTGCAGGCTACATCTTTTTTTTTTTTTTTTTTTTTTGGACAGGCAGAGTTAGACAGTGAGAGAGAGAGAGAGAGAGAGAGAAAGGTCCTCCTTCCGTTGGTTCACCCCCCAAATGGCTGCTACGGCCGGCGTGCTGCGTTGATCGGAAGCCAGGAACCAGGTGCTTCCTCCTGGTCTCCCATGCGGGTGCAGGGCCCAAGCACTTGGGCCATTCTCCACTGCCCTCCTGGGCCACAGCAGAGAGCTGGACTGGAAGAGAGGCAACCAGGACAGAATCCGGCGCCCCAACCGGGACTAGAACCCAGGGTACCGGCACCACAGGTGGAGGATTAGCCTAGTGAGCCGTGGTGCCGGCCATTGCAGGCTACATCTTGCCCACTTTGTCATATGCCTACCCATTTTCCTATTTTAGTAGATGTAGGCTGTAGGGAGAAAAGGCATTCATCTATAGATGTATCTACAGTCAACTCCATTCTTAATTCTGAAAGGACAAGCAGACAAATACTCCCTCTAGCCTGCCTCCCACCAATATCCTTTCTTCCTAGCCTTCCTTTCAGAGTTAAGCTATTTTCAAGAGACTTCCTTGGGACCGGTGTGGTGGAGCAATGAGTAAAGCTGCTGCTTGTGACGCTGGCATCCTATATGCTAGCCCTAGTTTGAGTTCTGACTGCTCTACTTCTCACCGAGCTTCCTGCTAATGCACCAGGAAAGACATTGGAAAATGGCCCAAGTAGTTGGACTCCTACCCCCTTATTTAAGAGACCAGGATGGAGTTCCTGGCTCTTGGCTTCGGTCTGGCCTGGCCCCTGCTGTTGCCAATCATTTGGGGAGTGAACCAACAGATTGGAAATTGTCCCATGTTTATTACTTCCTCTCTTTCTCCCTGTGACTCTGCCTTTCAAGTAGATTTTTCCCCCTAAGGGGACCTGCAGCTTTCGTTGCCTTACTTTCCATGTGCTCCTCTTGCTGCACCTTCTCACCAGCTGCCAAAAGGTCACTGTAGCTGGGTGTAAGAAAAAACCTTTCAAGCAGAAAATGTACTTACTTGAACAAGATTTATGATCAAGAATTTGGTTGTTTTGGTAACAGAGACAAAGGTATAGACTACGCAGGTTGGGCTGGCGCCGCGGCTCACTAGGCTAATCCTCCACCTAGAGGCGCCGGCACACCGGGTTCTAGTCCCGGTTGGGGCACTGGATTCTGTCCCGGTTGCCCCTCTTCCAGGCCAGCTCTCTGCTGTGGCCAGGGAGTGCAGTGGAGGATGGCCCAGGTGCTTGGGCCCTGCACCCCATGGGAGACCAGGAAAAGCACCTGGTTCCTGGCTCCTGCCATCGGATCAGCGCGGTGCGCCGGCCGCAGCGCGCCAGCCGCCGCGGCCATTGGAGGGTGAACCAATGGCAAAGGAAGACCTTTCTCTCTGTCTCTCTCTCTCACTGTCCACTCTGCCTGTCAGAAAAAAAAGACTACGCAGGTCAACAAGAAAATAGAAAACAAAAACCAGGAGAGAAAAAATAAAAACGAAGTCATTGTTCAAATACAAAGACTAAAATATGGCAAAATGTTGAGTAGTCATCAGTGTTTAGGAAAAGGTTCTTTACAGTGGGATTACATTTACTTTCCTATAAGTGCAAAACACTGTACCTAAAAATAGGTAAAAATCAATTGTGGCTGGCGCTGTGGCTCAATAGGCTAATCCTCCGCCTGCGGCACTGGCACACCGGGGTTTAGTCCCGGTTGGGGCACCAAATTCTGTCCTGGTTGCCCCTCTTCCAGGCCAGCTCTCTGCTGTGGCCTGGGAGTGCAGTGGAGGATGGCCCAAGTGCTTGGGCCCTGCACCCCATGGGAGACCAAGAGGAAGCACCTGGCTCCTGGCTTCGGATCAGCACTGTGTCCTGCGCCAGCACGCCGGCCGCGGTGGCCATTAGAGAGTGAACCAACGGAAGGAGGACCTTTCTCTCTGTCTCTCTCTCTCACTGTCCACTCTGCCTGTCAAAACAAAACAAAACAAAAGAATCAATTGTATTTTATTTAACTTGTAGCATCCAAAATATCACCATGTTAACATGTAATCAATATGAGACTTTTACATTCATTTGTATTAAGTCCTTAGAATCGTGTGTTTATTGGATTTCCAGCACACATCTCAATTTGGAATTACTGTACTTGTGTTGTTCAGCAGTCATTGGCAGCTGTAGCTATCCCATTGCAGACCACTGCTCCAGATGCCAGAAACACTAACAAGATTTAACACATCATTAGGTAGTAAATTGTCATTTTTCAAAACGTCACTACACAAATATACTAAAAAGTTTAAAGTTACTTGTAGACTTTCTGATTTTTGTTTCCTTGTCACCTTCATTCTCCTCCTTTCATCCCAGAATGTAAGCTCTGGGACACACGAACATGTAGAAGTCACGGAGAAGAGGAGGCCTGAGTGATGGTGACTGAAACCACACCACAGGGCAGGAAGAGAACCAGAGTGTGGTGTGCTGGAAATAGGGGTGTCTTGGAGCCAGCAGATGTCAGTTTACCAGGGCTAGCTGTTGCATTTTCAGGAATTTAGTGAGCTAGTTGCCAAGTATGGCACTAAAATTCTACATAAACTGAAATAAGTTGTTTTCAAAGCAAAAGTAATAGTCAAAACTCATCTCTTAGGGCTGCTGTTGTGGCATAGTGGGTAAAGCTGCTGCTGCCTGCAACACCAGTACCTCATATGGGTGTCAGTTCGAGTCCTGGCTGCTTCACTTCCCATATAGCTCCATGCTAATGTGCCTGGAAAAGCAACAGAAAATTACCCAAGTACTTGGGCTCCTGCACCCTCATGAGAGACCCCAAAAAAGCTTCTGGCTTTGCCTTGGCCCAGTCCTGGCTGTTGCAGCCATTTGGGAAGTGACCCAGCAGATGGAATATCTCTGTCTGTGTCTGTCTCTGTCTCTCTCTTTCTCTGTAACTCTTCCAAATAAATAAATTCTTAAAAAAAAACCTCATCACTTCATTATTTCCTGACACTGTACTCCTACCTGTGCCATTAGAGTTATTTGTGTCTTCCAGATCTGCCTGGTAGAAATCCTATACAATGTGCATACTGTGTACCTCTTTCCAACTCAGTAGTGTTAGATTGCTAGTATGAATTGGCCATGGTAGGAGTATTTTACACTACAGAAGTCAACATAAGCAACAAATCAGAGCTTTTAAATTTTTTCTTGGCAAAGCTGGTAAGACATTACCGTGGAGAGAGTGGGCAATTGGGTCGAATGCCGCTAAGTTGAACTTAGCAACAGGAGGCTAGGTGCTGGTAAACACCTGGCTGTTCCACACTTCTACCAGGAATATTTCTCATTCATTTTGCACACTGACTGCTCAGTGACATGCTCTGCTAGAACCTGTTAGCGTCTTTCTCTCGTAAGCTTCTGGGATTCAGTTCCCTTGGGGTGGAATTAATGGATTCCATTTCCCATAGCACTTTATACACACCTCTTTGACAGTACTTGCTATTTTTGCTTATAGCACTTGACACATTTTTTTCCCTGGGCAGGGATCCCTCTTGACTCAGTCTTGTTTCCACAGTGTCAAGTGCAGGACCTGACATGGAGGTATATTTGTAGAACTGAATTGAAAGCTGAGTTCTCTGAGTTCTCTTGTTGTCTCTCTTATCCTCCGACCGCAGCATTGCTTATCCAGTTGTCTGCATTACGCGTTCCAGCCTGTCTTGTCTACTACTGTACTCTGTCACATACAGATCTGCTCTGTGTCTTCTGCTGCTGCTGCTGTCACCTGTATCCCCCATTGCTGTTACTCCTGCCTTGGTAATCTTGTTACAGTGTTGTCTGCGATCCTGAAAAATCACAATGCAAAAAAAATTAGGATTTTATAAAACATTGCTTGATTCTGCAGGAAGTAATGTTTTTTTTAAATAGTTTTCAGAAAGAGAAATTTTTCTGGAATGTCTTAGGAAGAGATAGTGGCCAGTGATAGGAAATATCTTTCTCACTCCCTGTTAAGTTTGCTGTGGCAAACCTTGAACATTGGCAGTGAATGCCCTCCTTTTGGTATTTCACTTTTTGTCTCTTTTTATTTATTTATTTGACAGATAGAGTTAGACAGTGAGAGAGAGAAACAGAGGTCTTCCTTCCATTGGTTCACCCCCTAAATGGCCTCTACGGCTGGAGCGACACCGATCTGAAGCAGGAGCCAGGTGCTTCCTCCTGGTCTCCCATGGGGTGCAGGGCCCAAGCACTTGGGCCATCCTCCACTGCACTCCCAGGCCACAGCAGAGAGCTGGACTGGAAAAAGAGTAACTGGGACAGAATCCGGTGCCCATATGGGATGCCAGCACCACAAGTGGAGGATTAACCAAGTGAGCCACAGCGCCGGCCCCCTATTTTTTTTTATCTCTTTAAAAATTATTATTTGAAAAGCAGAGGGAGACAGAACTTGAACCTGCTGGTTCACTTCCTCAAATGCCTGCAATAACTGGGGTTGGGCCAGTCAGAAGCCAGGAGCCAGGAACAGCTCCCAAGTGGGTGACAGAAACCCAAGCATTTGAGCCATCACTTGTTGCTTCCCAGGCTGTGCCTGATCAGGAAGCTGGACTCAGAAGCGCTCCAGTATGGAATGTAGGTTCCCAAGGGGCAGCTTAACTGCTAGGCCCCTGCCCCTGCCCTTGCCCTCTCCTTTTTAAAGACTGAAGATGATATGCCACAGCTATGCATTTTGAGTTGTTGCAACTATTGATTTTCTGTTGGATCTGTGCACTTCTGACAGGGGAGTGTTGACTGGTGGATTTTCTTCTATTTCTCCAGCAT